GACAGGAGGGCTTGGTGTGGAAATAGGATACTAGCTAGAAATGTTTTTGTTTTCTTTACAGCATTAACTAGGAAAGATACTTTTAAGTGATTTAAACACAAACAAGGATAAGCAAATAGCTAAGTGAACTTTGAAAAGTGTGGTAAGCGCAAAGGGCCATCCTTGTATCCAATAGGAAAACCCCACACACTTGAAAGCTGTAATAAAATGATTTGGTCTTTGAACCTCAACAGACCGTTGATAATAAAACAAAATAGGTAACCCAGAGCAGGCATTCTATATGAGAATTTTATAGAACAACAAAGGACAGATTTTTACAAAAGATTTATTTTTACTTTTAATGATTATCTGTTTAGTCTCTGTGTATGCCATGTGTATGCATTATCCACAGAGGCTAGAAGAAGACATCATCCCTGAAGTTGGAGATCCAGACAGGTGTGAATTGCCTGAGGTAGGTGCTGGGAACTGAACTCGTGTTCTCTTGAAGAGCAACAAGCACTCTTAACCAGTGAGCTATCTCTCTAGCTCCCAGGACAGACTGTTGTGTTTTTGAGACAGGGTCTCACAGTGTATCCCTGGCTGTCCTGGAACTCACTCTGTAGACCAGGCTGACCTTGAACTCACAGAGATCCACCTGCCTCTGCCTCCCGAGTGCTGGGATTACAGGCGTTCACCACCACCGCCCAGCAGCATACTCAATTTTATGTTGGCAAGAATTACGTTCTACGAGGTTACACTGAGTTAGTGGACATGAATCATTGTATAGGAAAATAGAGGGTTAAATTCCCACAAGTTTGTAGTTAACATTTTTGTCAGCCGAATAGCACACAGCCTTACTTCACACGTGTTTGTGTTCCTAGACACTTTATTCAGTGCATACTGTACATTCATAGGACTTGTGGCATTTCTATTCAAGCCCACACGGAGCTTATGTAACACACACCCTGCCTCTGTAGGCACATCCCAGTCTTCTTGCACTTGGACACACTCAACAGGACAGCTACACTTGACTTGGGGGACATTTGAATCATCAAAAATTAGCATAAAATGTGGGGGAAAAAGAATGGTTCTAAATACACCACACCAGTGCACTTTGCTTCTTAGTCATCTGTCGGTGGACAGTTGGGTACTTTCTACCTCTTGAGTATAGCAAACAGCGGCGCTATGGATACAGATAAACAAGTACCACTGTGGGCTCTTGGGCTCCTTTGGTGATTTACCCAGAAGTAGCTTTGCTAGAACCTGCAGTAAGTCGGTTTAACTTTTGGTTTGTTTGAGACAGGGTCTTACTACCTAGCCCTGACTGGCCTGGAACTCCATATGTGAGCCAGGTTGGTCTCAGACTCACAGAGATCTGCCTGCCTCAGCCTCCCGAGTGCTGAGATTAAAGGTGTGTGCTTGGTTTAAATAGTGGAGGAATGAATGTGATGACATCTTCCAGAGCAGCTGTACCAAGTCACATTTCCTCCACCAGCACTCAAGCTTTCTGTCTGTCCACATCCCGTCACAATGCACACGTGGAGGTCAGAGGACAACTTCAGGGGTCGGTTCTTTTCTTCCACCACGTGGGTCCTGAGCATGGAACTTGGTGGCAAGTATGTTTATTCACTGAGTCACTTTACTAGCCTCCAAGACGTATTTTTTTTTCTTTGAGATAAGTCTTTTTATATAGCCCTGGCTGTCCTGGGACTTGCTATGTAGACCAGGCTGGCTCAAACTCAGAGATCCACCTGCCTCTGCTTCCTGAGTGCTGAGATTAAAGGCGTAGGCCATCATGCTGAGCTGTCAGATCTGACTCCTTAAATCCTAAGGGGTCTTGAGGAGTCTCACTGACACTCGGGTTATGGCACTGAGGGGAGGAACAGAGAGGATGGGGTGCTGAGATCCTCCCGGCACTAGACACCCTTCAGAAAATACTGGGGTTCTGATCTCCTAGAAAGCAGCTCCTCACAGCCTGTTTTGCCTCTGACCCCACCAGGCTGGGCTAAGCTCACTTCCTTACCAGAATTCTCTCTACCTTCCTGAAGATGTACTTGTCCCTCCTCTTCTATTTTAAAGTAGCCGTCTTGATGGATGTTTGGTGATGGCTCGATGTGGTTCTAATCTGCGTTTTCCCAGTGGTGAGAGATGTTGATCTCTTCTTGTGCTTCTTGGCTACTTGGATGTCTTCTTCAAAGGATTGTCTGTTCGAGTCCTTCCCCTCCCCCTAAATTTCAAAGTCAGGATTAGGCATGCTGCAGAGTGAATAAGGTTTAAATGGAAGAATGTGAAATTATATGTGTATGTATGTGTAAATATGATAGTCATAGATGTGTGTATATGTGTAAATATAATAGATTCATAGAAGGGGTGTGTGTAAATATGATAGTTGTAAATGTGTGTGTATGTGTAAGTATGATAGATTCATAGATAGAGGGTGTGTGTGTGTGTGTGTGTGTGTGTGTGTGTGTGTGTGTGTGTTTCTGGATATTAGACTTGGGACCTCGGGCATCACTGAACTACATCCACTACCCTCCTCACATTTTTATTGAGCAGTTTGCATTTTTGTTGTTGAGCAAGAATTCTTTATATATATTATTGATAGTAATTCCTTAATTTGTTATCAGGTATGAAATTGACAAATATTTCCTCCCATTCTGTGATAGTCTTTACTGATAGTATTCTTTAGCATAAAAGTTGAAAACCCATTTTTTAAATGTGAAATACAAAGAGGTTATGCCAATTAGCAGTTGTGGCTATGGTGAAAAGTATTGTTGCTGCTTTTATGGTTACTGTTTCATCTCTGCTTGTGAGAAATATTTAAAAAGAAGCCCCAAGAAGATAGTAACTGGAGGTAAAGCTGTCCTGAACGCCATTACCACACCAATCCACTTTCCATGTGAATGATTCTTTGTCTTATCTAGAAGGAGGTTTGAAGATGCAAATATGTCCAGGGACAGTGCAGGCAACAGCTTTCACTAAAAACTGACATTGATACCCAAAGAGACATTCTGAACACAGAGTCCCGAAACAGAACACAAGGGGTGGAATTAGAATTGTTCACTGGTTGGTAATGGAGCAGAGAGTGAAACTTGCTCTCCACATCCTTAGGTTAAATTTGGAACTCAGGGGCTAGACTCCAAATTAACCTGTCCCTTTTGAACTTGAAGATTGTGGTCCCATCGAAGTCTAGACATCAGTGCCGAAGAGTGAAGACTAGGTATGCCACAGAGGGAAGAAGGTTTAGATGGAAGGGATGAGTCCCGATGCCTGTTTTCCGGAGTTAATAAACAAGGACATTCCGAGTCTATTTCCTTGGCTCAGCTCCAAGGGGCTCTTTGTTGTTGGTAACTCTCCCACAGTGATTCTCAGCCTTCCTAATGCGACGACCCTTTTAATATTACAGTTCATTTGTGGTGATCCCCCAACCATAAAATTACTTTTGCTACTATTTCATTACTGTAATTCTGCTACTTTTATGAAGTATTATGTAAGTATTTTTCATGACAGTGGGTTGACGAGGGGGTTGTGACCCACAGGTTGAGAACAAACCAGAGTCCGGCAGGCTCTGGGACTGCTGGAGGTGGAGTCCCAGGACTAACCATACCCTCTGCTGAGTTGCAGCGTTATTTGAGCTCTGTCCTAGTTATTTTTGTTGTGATAAAACACCACAACCAAAAGCAACATGCAGAGGAGAGGGTTTATTTGGCTTACAGTTTACAGTCCACCATTGAGAGACGCCAAGGCGGGGACTTAAGGAAGGAACCCAGAGGCAGGAACTGAAGCAGAGGTCATAAGGGAATGATTACTGGCTCGCTTCTCCTGCCTTGCTGAGTCACTTTTACAGCCTAGGTCCACCTGCCCAGGAATGGTATTACTCACAGAGGGCTGGGCTCTCTCACTCCAATCAGCAATCAAGAAAATGCCCTACAGACATGCCTACAAGCAGTCTAATGGAGGCAAGTCCTCAATTGAGATTCCCTCGTCACAGGTGTGCTGGGGTTTGTGTCAAGCTATGATGAGCTCCCATCCATACTGAGTCTTCCCTGCTGGAAAAATGTCTAGAGATGTGATGGGCAGAAACCCTAGATAGTACAATGAGACTGTATGTGAAAAGCCAGAAGAGAATATCTAGCACCTAGCTTCCCCCACCTCTTACCACCCAAATACTTGTACACTTCTTTTGGTCCCTAGATAAACAGGACTGGCAGATATTTAGAATGAAAATTCCAGGGGCTGGAGAGATGGCTCAGTGGTTGAGAACCCTGGCTGCTCTTCCGTGGGATTAATTCCAAGCACCCAAATGGCAGCTCACAACGGTCTGTAGCTCCATTTCCAGAGGATCTGGCACCTTCACAGACATACATGCAGGCAAAACACCAATGCACATTCAAAAAAAGAAAGAAAGAAACTTCCCATGGGAAAAGGGCATAGAGGGCCTGAACTGGCCTCTAAGTGCAGAGAGAGATAACTAAGACTATATTTTGAAGAAGAACGCTAGCTGTGGAAACTGTAGACTGCTTTGAGAAGCATCTCTCCTTAGCCACCAAAGGTCATGGGTGAGGAAACTGTAGTGTAGTGAGAATTCAAAGAAATGCAGTACGTCTTGCCCAAGCAGGTGTGGGGAGGCTCCTTCGCTGAGCCTCCATGGACCAGGGGATGTGCTCTGCTCTCTACGACTCCACAAGGTCTAGCAAGCAGAGGCGTGTCTCCTATGGGACTGGCATTAGAATTCTGGAGGTGACGGTAAGGCTAGGTCAGCTAAAATAGTTAGCAGTTTCCATTGTTCCCTTAAGAGGTGTTTTCAAGTGGTTAGTTCTGCAAAGAGGGCAAGCGTGAGTCACAGCTACATGTCAGAAACACCAGGGATTTTCAGAAAAATCTGAGAGTAGATCCCAGAGAAAAGAAGGAACTACTTGGCAGTCAAATATTGAAATTGTCTCTGAAATCAACACTTTTGGAATTCATGGGACTGTAACCCCCCAAGGTGCATTCACTGTTTTGTAAAACTTAAGAATGTGGCAACTTAAAAACCCAACAAGAATCCTATCCATTTAGTCTCTAGAGTAAGAAAAAATGATAACAGAGGAAACATATTTTGAGAATTAGTGTTCTGATTATTTAGCTGAGTGAATTTCCCTGCATTTTCCTCTCTACGGTTGTTGGTACTTATGAGAAAAAGTCCAGTTTGTACCATGAGGTGTAGATTTAGGGTTTTCCAACATTCTTTGGATCCTGGTGACATGTCATTTTAGTGATGGCTGCCTTGACATCCTTGTTCCTCAGGGTGTAGATGAGAGGGTTGAGAACAGGGGTCAGAATAGCATACACCACATTGCCCATGATGTGGAAGTCCAGGGGCAGGTCAGCCCTGTAGGCCACATAGGCTATGGCAATGGATGAGTAGTAGGTGCCCACCACCAGGAGGTGGGAGCTGCAGGTGGAGAAGGCTTTGGAACGCCCTTCCCTGGAGCTGATATGAAGCACTGAGGCCAGGATGCGAGCATAGGAGAGAAGCACCAGGAGGAGAGGGAGGAAGGATACCACCATGGCGATGCAGAAGCCCATGAGGGTCTGGGGGCTGGTGTCTGAGCAGGAGGCCTGGACCACAGCCAGGTGGTCACAGAAGCAGTGGTAGATGTAGGCGATGCTGTTAAATGCCATCTGGGAGGTCTGTACCACTGCTGGGATGGGCAAGAGGAGGGCGGTGATCCAGGCACTGGCTGCCAGTGCAGTGTTTGTCTGTGGGGTCATGTGGACAGGGTAGTGCAGAGGGCGGCAGATAGCCACATAGCGGTCATAGGCCATGACCACCAGGATAAAGGCTTCTGAGCAGGAGAAGCTGTGAAAGAGGTACATCTGGAGGAAGCAGGCAGGGAAACTGAGGAATCTGTCCTCAAGCAGGAACAGGGACAGCATCTTAGGGACAGTGGTTGTGGTGAAAAGGATGTCCAGGGCGGAGAGGTTGATTAGGAAGAAGTACATGGGCTTGTGGAGGCTGGGCTCTGTCACCACGGCCACCAGGATCAGGGTGTTCCCCACCAGGATGAGCAGGTAGAAGAGGAGGAAGAGGAAGAAGACAGGGAGGAAGAGGGATTTTTGCAGAGAGGGGATGCCTGTAAGGTAGAAGATGGTCTGAGAGTCCCCTGACGCATTACAGGCTACGTTCTCCATGGCGAGTTAAAGCTGGATGCTCAGGAGGTTCCCACGCCCATCTGTAAACAGAAGAACCCAAGGTTCTGGGATGAGAATTGCATAATGGTCATTGTCTAATCCAGATAACCAACTCATTTACTGTCAATTCTAAAGGAAGTACAACAGGCTCTGTCTTGTACCAGAGTCCTCAATCTAGACCAGAGCTCCCTCTTCCTTAAATCAAGGGTGGTTGAAGCATTTACAGTATAAACATCATAAGAAAAAAAACAAAACAAAACATAATGCACCACAGAAGGACCCTGGAATAGAAAACACTAAGTGTCATGTACACAGTAGATGTGGATTTGTTGATCTGGACAGAGGTTTAAGCCTCATAGGAGTGAAAGTCTCATGGTAAAGAAAGGCATGAAGCAAACAGTGACAGGATTATGTAACTATAGTTGTGTTAAGTACTTTGTATGAACGTGGGTTCTCTTTTCCATATCCAATATCATCCTTTTAGGAATATCAGATCTCTTCAGTCAATTAACTCACTTTTTCTTCAAGATTTGTCTCAAGGTTTTGGTTTTGGTCCTTGGTACCTCTGTGGGTCTGCAGTGTGTGTGTGTGTCTAGGCTTTCTGGAAACACACTGCCTTCCCACTGTAACTGTTACCCCACTACTGCCTCCCTGCTTGTTTGCTTGGCCCTGCTATCTCCTTCTAAGTTGAGACATTTGTCCCCTCTCTGTGTGTGAGGGGTCTCTGTCATTTTAAGGAAAAGGGGGTGACCCTGAGGATGCTTTAGGTGCTCTGTCAAGTCAGGGATCTGAGGATGATTTCTCATCAATTCTGCTACAAGACAGAATCCACGACAGTCTCTCTGCAGGCCCATTGACTGCCTCTCCCTAGTGAATGCAGCAGCCCAAGAGGTGCCCTAATTGATCCCTGGATGGCCATTACCTAGAAGGCCTCCTTGATCTCTGCTCAGAAGGTGTCATGATGTCCTGGGATGGGTGGGGAGTGACTTGTACAGAACTTGAGATATGCTTGCAGTATTGGTTCCCACAGAAAGAACTCTCAGAAGAATCAAAATGGAATGCTCAACCCACAGATGTAGGAACTGAAGCTATAGGACACTAGTGATTTATTCTCAGCCTTAGGCTTGTCCCCTGGATGTTGGAGGCAAGTGTCTGTGAACATAGGTAATACTGTGCCTTTAATCTCAATGACCCCATGACTTCTGTTTTCCCATTTTCTAACAAAGCATTTCTCATGACAAACCATTATGTAATGGTGAGTTCTTTTGCAGCCACCCAGCTCTCCGAAGACCAGAGACTTTGCACAGGAGGATGGGGCTTTCCCAGGAGCCACACCAGCTGACTGAATTGACAGGAAGGCTGTGCTGGGTCTCTAATTCCTGGGGCATGGCTCTTTCTCCTTTCCGTCTTTCCTGAGGAATCCAGATATCAAGTATCCAAGCCAAAAATATTTGGGCAGAGGTTTCTATTTCCCCTGCTTTTTCAGTTGATAAAATCTGAAAAAGCTAAATTTCAAATATTTCTCTGAGGCTCTATATGGTAGAACTTAAATTGGTGTCTGGCAATCAAATCCTTTCTTGGCAATATGTCCTTGGCTGGACAAAAAGAGTGAGCCAGCTTTGTTCCAAACTGAGGCTCCTTGAAGCAGACCCCCACAGATGGAGTTGGGTCATTTCACACACTAAGGGACACCAACTGCACTACCTGGACGTTGCTGCACTCAGTCAGTCATGGGCTGTCTGTCCTCCCAGGATCAGACTAAGCTGGGGGGAGGGGGATGTTGGAGGAACTAAAGCCAAGAGGATACAGCCAGAGGTGTCCCAGCTTCCCCTGCAGTTCCCTGCTCTGCTCACTGTTTGCTGACAGAGATATGATGCTGAGCTCCTGGTGGAGATGTCGCCTGTAGATTTTGACTGCTGTGTGGTGCTGGGTTGTCTAATAGGCAGTCCAGGCTTGGGCCACCATCAAAGCAGGGCACCAAAGCTCCTCAGTTTCTTAAAGAGTTTGATATCTGGCACCAACCAGTTCATCATAGGAAATGCCAACATCTCCTTAGGCCTTACTCCACCTTCTAAGTTGGGATTGTTTTATCCTGAATTATAGGCTGTGTCTAAGTAATGCAGTCCTGTGCTGAGGACCAAAAGGCCCAGCCCCAGGGACCTTCTAGCACCAGTTCTACTGCTGGGAGGGAGAGGACAGATGCATGAGTCACCTGAATGTCCAACCTGCCCTTGATGTTCCTCATCTCCCATCACAGAGCCCTCCCTACTGGTTATGCTTCTTAAAAGTGAGGAAACTGGGCTGTCCCGACAGTGTAAGGCAAGTGGTTCTCAACCTTCCGAACCCCACGACCCCTTAATACAGTTCTTCATGGTGAGGTGACCCCCAACCATGAAATTATTTGCGTTGCTACTTCATAACTATAATTTTTGCTACTGTTACAAATTATAATGTAGATATCTGATATACACGATATCTGATATGTGACCCACAGGTCGAGAACCACTGGTGTAGAGGGTAAAAGCTCTTGCTGCACAAGCCTGGGAACTTGAGTTTGATCCTCAGACTCCATAGCGGAAGCAAAGAACCACGTCCCAAAAGTTGTCCTCTCATGTGTCCACTTGTGCTGGGCACAGGTGCACATGAACTCATAAATGCAGCTCTCACCTCTCTCCGTCTCTGTCTCTGTCTCTGTCTCTGTCTCTGTCTCTCTCTCTCTCTCACACACACACACACACACACTAATACATCGAATAAAAATAGGAACATAGAAACAAAAGAGGAAATGAAATAATTAAAGTTAAGAGAAGGACAGGCTCTCGTCCAAGGCCACAGGGTGCGGAGTGAGAGGAGAGGGTGCTCCTGGAGCCAGCCTACCTGAAAGGTCTAAGCCCTACCTGTCAATCAAGAACTCGGCTGCTGAACCAGCCCTTACACTTTCTTGCTGTGACCTTCATCATTGTTTATTTCATCTGTACAGCGAAGGCTTTGATGCATAGATCGCTGAAGGATTTACAGTTCAATGAACTACCTTCTGAGTGTCCCCATTGTGTTTGCCAGAGTGGGGGATGAAAAGACATATGTCACGTGACCCATGCTCTAAGGGAGAAAGAGACTCTTCACAACAAAGCCAGACTCTGTGCCTTCGCTGTGCCACACCCACTGTAGCAGACAAGTATGTGGTCTTGGGAGTTAGGACAAGATACAAATGCCTGTTCATGACTAGCTCTGTGACCTGCAGTGAGTCTCTTCTTTTGAGCCCCACTTCCCCGTCTGTGACCTTGTAAGCTTTCCTTTATGTTGACAGTGCTTACCCAGTGCTCACAAAGGCTGGACCTCATAAGAACCCAGTTTGCTGGTGTTTCCAATGGCTCCTGCTTTCATCCGCTTTGTCTTTCTGTGGGAAGACCCAGGCCCAGATGGTTTGAATTCCACTCCTGACACACCTCCTTGCCCTCACCTAGTAGTGGTATCTAACCCAAGGTCTAAGAGCTACTGTGTGTCCAGTCATTCTAGAGCCTGAGGCCCTGCCTCTGTTTACATCCAACAGGTCTATAATCCAAGAGCCCCTGTCCTCCTCTTTACCTTAGCGATCTCTGCCTCTCTCTGGCTCCTCCACCCCAGCAACACTCACCTGTTGGGGCTGCTTCACAAGGGTGTCTTCAGTGGTTCTCCACACCAGGCTTTGGTGGAAGCAGCAGGCTGGGCTGAGCTGTGGCTCATTAAACCCTCAGCCCTCTCCTTTCAAACAGGTCTCTTGGGTACTCTTCTTTAAGATGCATTTCCCCTAGTTCTACCCCAGCATCCTCAGGGATCACTTCCTGGTGTCTCCTGCAGCATGTATATGATGGAGGTAGGATTTATCCCTAGACTTTGTTGCTAATGAGAAGATCATCATTAACAGCACCCAAGGGACCAGAATTTTACATTAATGGTGTAATGTTTGTTCTTGTTATCCCATCTCATCCTCACCACAGAGGAGACAAGAAGGAACAGTAGGGGACAATAGGAAGTCCTGAAGAAGGACATCAAGGTATAGCTTACCTGTGTTAACAGAGTGGCTGGAGGCAGTTAGTTTTCTGACTCAGATCTATATTCTACCAAGGGCCTAGACCACGATAACAGAATTGCATACTGCTAGAGGAAGGCCTGGGGTATTAAATATTAAAGAACCTCCTGTCTTGGTTTGCTGGCTTTCCGCTAACTTTCACTGTTGCTCACAGGAATACTGCTATGTCTTCCTGAGATGGCCCCGGTACCAGGAATAGTTCTTGCTCTCACCACATAGCCATGACTGCATTTCCTGTTCATGATCAAATACATTACCAGTACCCTTCTTTGCTTACTGAATCAGTGGCATAAGGATCCCCAAAATTTCAGGTGGCAATCTCAGCTTCCAGGCCAGTGAATCATCCAATTCCTGGTAGATGTAGTCTATTCTAAAGAATGAAAAAGATCAGCCAGCAGAACCCAAAGTTGAGGAGAAGGAATCAAACATTTTGGAACCAGATTCTCAGGGTTAGTGAGAAGAAATGCCCCTACTTCCTTCTTTGGCTCCCAGTCCTGTGTGCTCTGTCTATATATTCTGGTCATATACTCTGGCCATGCAGACTGCCTGACATAGTGGCTGCTGGTTAAGGGTGCACATTTGAACTTGTCAGGTAGCACGCTGTTGTTATCCAGTCTATACCTAAAGCAAACCTTCAGTTTTTCCTTCATTCACCCAGACTACCCACTTTTGAGTGATGGCAAACATTCTAAGATCTGTGATTACTATGGGTGCAAGACCATTTTATTTCTTTGCCCCATTGAGTTCCTATGTCAAAAGCAAGGAAGAATTTCAAATGGCCGAAAGACATTTAAGGAATTGCTCAGCATCCTTATCAGGGAGAAGCAAATCAAAACAACTCTGAGATACCATCTTACACCTGTCAGAATGGCTAAGATCAAAAGCACTGCAGACAGCTTATGCTGGAGAGGATGTGGAGCAAGGGGAACAC